TTTTGAATTGTGGTGCTGGAGGAGGCTCTTGAGAGTTCCCTGGACTGCAAGGAGGACAAATCTATCCTAGCTGCCTAGAGTGGACTGGTAGCCCAGATAGGCGGGGTATAAATCAAATCAAATCAATTAATCAATCAATCAATCAATTCTAAAGGAAATTAACCCTAAGTGCTCCCTGGAAGGACATAGAATATCTAAAATTCCTTGCCTCATCTATATTTGCAACCAATCTGTGCCATTGGAAAAGGATTCTTAAGTTGCCAGTAGACAAGAAATAAACTCTTCAATAATTTGAGCTAATTTGCTTGGCAGCTGTCTCACATTTTTGCAATCTGAGGAAAGAAATCCAAGAGCTTTTTAATATACTCACTTGTAATATGCCATAAGCCCACTCAACTCATCACATTACACTCCTGCTAGTGACTTTCGAGAATCAGTTTTGCAGTGTCCCATCCAAAAGCAGGGACAATACAGTCTTAGGCTGAGATCACTCCAGCAAAATATTTCCAAGTTACTCCTTGTTAATTTCAATCCTTGGGGGGGGGGGCTTCAGATGAAGTACCACCATTATCCATTCTTCTGTCCTCCCCCTGTGCTATCTCTGCATTAAATCCCACCCATTGAGAGGTTTCTACTTTTTTGTTGTGGAATTCATCACACAACAATTAAATCTGTGTCCTGCATTGATAGCTGTACCAATACTTTTTTGACAAGTCATCCTGTGTTTCTTCCACTAGTGATGTCATTTGCCTACATGTCCCTTTATCTAAAAAAAAAAAAATTAAAAATAGTGAGCCTAGTGTCGATGCTTTGGAAAACCTATGTCCTCGGCCTCTGCCCTTCATCTGTTTGCGGATCCTTCCACCAAGTGGTGCTCCTTCCCCTGAGCCCTTTCATGTTTTTTTCTTGGTGATCCTGTGGTAGAGCTGCAATGAGAACAAAGCCCAACTAGGAGTTTCTCTGCTGCAAGAGAAAGAAACACAGCAGAGGAACTTGTACCCATCAAGGAAATGTTGCTGAAACATTGATGTAATTAAATTTATGAAGAAATAAATAAATAAATAAATAAAAAGGAAAAAGGGAGCTCCAGAGACATAAACAACCCAGAGGGAAATATTCCAGTACCTAAGTGTAGCTGATCATATCACATAAAATTTAGGGAAATGTTGCAATAATTCAAAAACACATCAGAATGCACAACCCCAGGATATCTGTCACAACTGCTCAGGGAGTAAAAAAATGCAAGAAAATGGGGAAACGCTTTGCTGGTCTGACCATGGCCTTACTGACTGCCTTTTGCAATTTCTGATATTTTATCAGGTCTGGTTGGATTGCACTTCCATGCCAAGTAGGGTGCAACAAGAATGAAACTATTTTACCAAAAAGCATGGAGCAGGGACATGGAGGGTTCAACATCCTGCAAATTTCAGCCTTCATTTTAAATCATTTACTAGATGTCAAGCCCTCTTTCCTGTGAAAATAGACTTGGAAAGGAGGGGGGGTGATACTTAATGAAATCTCATAAAACTTAAACGGATCCTGTTGACAAGATTCTTACTATCAGAAAGTGTGCTGGCTCAGTGCTTTCCATGTATTTTCTGTCCTCTTTCAAGACTAGCAGAGATAAAACAAACTAGGCAAAGGATAAGCCTGCACTTCTTGACAGACATTTCTGGTAAACTTGAGCTGAATGTACATATAGACAGGTGCACCACTTCCAAATAGCTAAATAACTCTGCAACCAACGATCTGGTCTTCATTCATAATACTGTATCTGCTTTGCGCCTCCAAAACATCTCACAAAGAAGTCATAACAGTAATATCTGGCACTATCTCAGGAAATAGGGCATCCTCCAGATATAATATGGTGCATTTTGAATGATCAGAAAAATGAAATAACTCCTCAGAAATTGCCAGCCAGCCAGAAAATGTAGTATCAATGTCATTAACAATGAACTATATTAAATGAAACACATCACTGAAAACATACAACAGGCTAATTAAAACATTAAGCTACTTAAAAGCAATTAAAACACATAAATAACCCAGCACCCACTGGGATTTAAAGCCCCTTTTAACACTTAACTCCTGGAGCAGTTAATTGCTGGCAATGCAGCAAAGAAGCAAAGGTGACAAGACAGAATCCACCAGCAGTCAGAACCTGAAGCTTTTCTACCTTGCACAGATTTATGTCTCGCCTTCCAAAGAATCTGATTGATTGATTGATTGATTGATTGATTGATTGATTGATTGATTGATTGACTGACTGATTGATTGATTAGACTCCTACCCCACCCATATAGTGGCAAGCCACTACCCTGGATGGTTTAAAATAAAAGTAAATATTGACACAACATTCCGGAATAAGCATAATTTTAAAAAACAGACAAAAAAAGGCCCTCTCTGAACCCTCCTATATTTAGTGACAGACACTAACACAAAAGCTGGTGGCAAAAATGTTACCAATTAAACAATAAATATCTATAATAAATTAAAATTAGATGGGAGTAAGATTTTCAAAGGCTTGAGTTAAAAGTCATGTTTTTACAGTACAGGTACTTGCTTTCTAAGGTAGACTACGATGGAGGCCAGACGCACCTCCACCAGAAGAGAGTTCCTACAGTGAAGTGGCCACAACTGAGAAGGTCTGGTTCCTAGTTGTAGATTTTCAGGCCTCCCTTGGGGTGGCCCTCCACATCATCAAAGACTGGGAGGTGTGGATAGGATGGGAGGTATATCTGAGGAAGAGCTGCTGAGTCAGGTAGCAAGGTCCTAAACTGTTCAGGGCGTTGAATGTCAGCATAACACCTTGAATTGGAACTAGAAGCATAGCAGCAGCCAGTGCAAATGGGCGAGGACAGGAGAGATGTGATCATATTTTTATGTTCCTGAAACCAGTCTGGCAGCTGTGTTTTGCACTCGCTGCAGCCTCCAAACCACATTCAAGGGTAGCCCCACATAGAGAGCATTGTAGTAGTCAATCTTCAAGATTACCAGCACACGGTCAGTGTTATTAGGGACTTCCCATCAAGATAGTGGTGAAGGTATGCAATCTGCCTGAGTTGGAGGAAGGCAGATTTGGTCATGGCCAAGATCTGATTCTCCATTAAGAGGGCCAGGTCTACGTACACATCCAAATTATGAACCTGATCCTTCAGGGGAAGTGTGGCCCCGTCTAGATCAGGCAGGAAGCCTCCTAACCAATCAGGGTCCCCTTCCTAACAACAAGGTCCCTGTCTTGAACCACCTTATGTCCCCTATGGGGAGAGAGGTGGCATATAAATAGTTAGGATTAAATTTCAGCCTATTAGTCATCATCCAGTCCATAACAACAACCAGGCAGAACACTAGGATCTGCACAATTTCCTTTGCTGAAGATGAAAAGGATAGCGTTGCATGTCATCTGTGTAATGACAAGTGCTCTCCAGATCTCTGAATTACCTCCTCCAGCAGCCTAATATAAATGTTGAACAGCAATAGGGAGATGATCTATCCCTGTGGGACTCCATATTTATTTACTCTATCTTCACATCTCATAAGTATTTTGGCTTAACATTTGTAAAATTGTCAAAAACCAAACTTTGTAATCAAAATGATAGTGAATTCTTATGGTTTCTTGTAGAACAACTATTAAAGAAATAGAATGTTGTTCTATTATATCTAATGTATTCCTATTTCACGCGTGTATGTCACAGACACAGAACAACAACAATAAAAGCACAGTACATGTCATAACTTTCTCACTGGAGCTCAGATACCGGGCTGTGGCCTTGGCACATTATGTAGCCTGCATAATTAACAGAGAGTGCTTGGAGCACTATGGGGCGGTATATAAGCAGCACGCTTTGCTTTTGGCAGGACCGGGCTGCAGAGACAGAGCTCCCCCCAAACGCACGGACACACGGACGCTGCCTCATACAAGCACGGATGCACAGATGCCCCGCTCACGCATGCACAGACACCCGTCCGCCCCACCCACACATTCACAGACACATGAATGCCCCGTCCACATATGGATGCACAGACGCCCCACACATAGACACACAGACACCTCGCGCGCACACGCTTTCTAAAGTTGGACGCCCTGTCCACGTATGTCTCACAGCTAAACCAATTTGCGGTGGAAAAAGGTTGGGGACCACTGCCTTAGAAAACCTTATCCTGAACAGCCATCTTTCTTAGAAAGCTTTACAACATAATGGCCAAAATGCTGTTTTTTAGTATAGTAAATGGCACTAGAATAATAAATCACACTCTAATGTGATTTACTATGCTAAGCATTAGGATTTGGCCCACTGCCATGGACTCTTACTATAGGCAACAACAGGACTGCCAGATGAAACATGTCCAAATCGCAACCGTAATTTGTACAACTGGCATACAAGAGTTGTCAGCAATACCTTTGAAACAAAAACATATGGTTGGTGTTCCACCATTGATAACCCTATGATATAAGCACCATAAAACAGGTTTGGGGAGCCAGGAGCCCTCCAGGTACTGTTAAACCACAGCTCACATCAGCCCTGTCCACTGGCCATACTGATAAGCCTGCCCAAGCCTTCGCAAATACATACAGTACTGATAAGATTTGGAATTCAATACATGTTCCCCAGCCCATTTTTAGACAGGATTCTTCAGTGTGCAACCAATTCAGTTAAAGTTATAGGCCAAGCTAGGTACTACGCAGAGCTTGAATCAGGTCTCTCTCTATTACTGTATGCTGAATTAACAGAAGATGCATTTTGATCCTGCATGTTTATTTGTGTGTGTCTCAAGGTAGAGACCACAGATTATTTCATATGTTACACATTTCCACAGAAATCCAATCAACTACAGCAACAGAACAGTATCATATGCATTCTCTAGGCCAAAGCATGTCTTAAAAGCACATTATTTTTCACCTCAAAGGTCTTTGCCTCATCTGCTCTGAAAGTATGAAGCCCTTATTGGAAGTTCTTACTTCTGAAAATGTGCCTGTCATTATAACACACAGGACTTACCTGTCAAATCACAGGCTTCCAAAGCATCATCTGCGTCTTGGTGAGTAAACAGTGACAAAAAGCAGGGACCCTCTTTACGGTTACATATCCCATCAGTCACTTTCCCCTCTCTATTCATTGCTTCTAATTTCTCTAAAGAACTCGGGATTGTCTCCTTGAGAACACTCCTCCCTTCATTCGACATTCCTGATAGAGCCACACTATCAAGAGATGGGTTTGCATCTTTCAAACAGGCAGCTATTATCTCTTCACCTTGGAGTTGCTCAAGGGCAGAAAGATCCTCTTTATTTGACACCAGGGTCATCAGCACAGTTTTTTCTCTATCATCCTCATGCTCCTTCTGTCGTTTTGATGAAGCAGTGGGAACGACTTTCTCCATTCCTTGTGGATTCTCCTGGGTTGATGTCACAAGCCAAACATCAAGGCTTTGGTAGATTTGGAATAATCACTATCAGACAACCTATAATAATAATAATAAAAAAGGTGTCAAGATGGCTCATTTTCAGAAGCGTTCAGAAAACTGAATTTCACCAAACAACTTTTAGATGTGCTAGTTAAGATTTAGTGCTACTTCTAAAAATACACATTATACAATTTCAGAACAAATTGCTTCCTGGAAATAGTACTTATTTCTAGACCACAGCAGAGCAAATCTGGTTTGACATGAGACAAGACAATTTTAAAAAAATACCTTCTGTGCTAATCTCAACACATCTGTAAATGAGTGGCCAAAGCTAGATTACTGGTATCCCAACTGCAGAAGGTAGCAGCATGCCCAGACTTGTCCAGGAGGGCTTGCAGGACCAACCTGTGTGCCAATACCAGGGTGCATTTGTCCCTTATAATTCCTGGCTCAACAGACCTCAGACAAACTCACCTTAAAATACCGTACAGAAGGAGCTCATTATATATTATGGATTAAAATGCATTATAGTAGTACTTTGTCATGCTTTCGAATTGACTTGTGGCATACTTATCGTAACTACTGTGCACACCAATTTATCTAGTTCAGGCCCATACTTCACCCGAAATATCAATACTGTAGAATCATCTCTAAACTGTATTTTAGCCACTGCAGAATATTTTTTCCAGTCCCTGTTCAGAAACAGCAGTGTAACATTAAGTCCACAACATAGACATTTAAAGACTTAACATGATGTAATGTTTCATAGAATGGTGGAAATAACTAACATAGGGAGAACAGAAATTTTCGATTATGAGGGAAGGCCGTCAGTTTTATTTTTCTAAGGGCTGATGACTATACCCACAAATCGGAATGGTAGTATGCCATGAGCTCTCACTCTCAAGCCATTAAAACTGATGCCCAATTTTTGTTAAAACTGCAATATAACAGTGAAAAAGAGGAGAAATAAATCATTATGTGCAAATTTGTCAGGATTCTATTTATCGCTGCAGGGTATGGACCACTGCTACTGGCAAGATACAAGCCTCCATCAATTTGCAATTCACAAAGTACCTCACCTCTTGAAATTAGAATGCTTACACTGAGTCCCACATAACAGAAAGAGGAATTATTTAACATTGCATATCCCCAGTGTACAGGAATATCTTATCTTTCTTATATTACATGAAAAACAGCATGCTACCAAATAGCTCTAAAAAGGGTGGTAGTCCAAACAAAAAATTCTAACTTGAAAACTAAACTTGGAGGACCGACTCCAGAGAGTGCAGCTTGGGGAGAGTGTCTCAGCCCCATGGAGTCTCAACTGTGGGGTTCCGCAGGGGTCGATCATCTCCCCAAAGCTGTTTAATATCTATATGAGGCCGCTGGGCAGGGTCATCCGGGGGTGTGGGGCTTCATGTCACCAGTACACTGATGACACGCAGCTCTACATCTCCTTTTCACCTACTTCAGTGGATGCCGTTCTGTCCCTTCAGCGCTGCCTGGAGACCGTACTGCAATAGATGCGGCTGAATGGGTTGAGGCTGAACCCAGACAAGATGGAGGTCTTGAGGGTGGGTGGTTCCTCCATCAGTGGACTAGGAGATTCCCTCTCTTTTGGGGGGACGACCCTTGCCACAAAGAGCGAAGTTCGCAGCTTGGGGATACACCTAGACCCGGCGCTTACCATGGAAACCCAGGTGGCGTCCATGGCCTGCTCCGCCTATTTCCATCTATGGCGGATTTCCCAGCTGCGACCATATTTTGATGGGGGGGCCCTCATCACTCTAGTCCACGTGTTCGTTATCTCGAGATGAGACCATTGCAATGCACTATATGTGGGGCTGCCTTTGAGGTTGATGCGGAAACTTCAAATGGTTCAGAATGCGGCAGCCAGGCTCCTTAGTGGGGTGAGGAAATATCAGCATATCTCCCCCATTTTGGCTGCTCTGCATTGGCTTCCCATTCGTTTCCGCATTGACTTCAAAGTACTAACAATGACGTATAAAGCCCTAAACCAGGGGTCTCAAACATGCGGCCCGAGGGCCATTTGCGGCCCCCCAGATGATAGTTTGTGGCCCTCGCCTTGCCTGCCCCCCTAAAGCGCCCACACATCCTCTGCTGTCAAGAGTTTAAAAAAAAAGCCTTGCCTCTCTCGCCGGCTCTCTCCAAAGACAGCGCCTCTTGCACCCTCCATCCAGAACTGCAGCCTGCCAGCCAGCCCACCTGTCTGTCGGCTAAGGAAACTCCTGGGCGGCTTCCTTGGGCTCTGGCTCTGCTTGGCGGAAAATCTGATGCAGCCCAGCCTCACCCAGACTCTGCCTCTAGCGGCCCCCAGGTAAATTGAGTTTAAAACCCCTGCCCTAAACGGTTTGGGACCTCGATACCTCGCAGAGCGTCTTCTCCCACCTAGTTCTACCCAAATCACCCGACAAAGCCAGCAGGGACGGCTGAGGGGCCTAACGCCGAGAGAGGCCCAGAAAGAAAGAACAAGAAATTGGGCCTTCTCGACAGTGGCCCCTCGGCTTTGGAACAGCCTCCCGACAGAAATTCAGCTGGCACCCTCGCTGGATGTTTTTAAAAACCATTTGAAAACATGGTTTTTCAGGCAGGCTTTCTCTCCAGTCAATTAAACTGACCTTCACTTTTCTTTAATCTTTCCATCTTGGCAAGGCTTTTTTATATAATTGTTAAAATTTTGATGTTTTCAATGCTTTTAAGATGTTGTTTGTTATGTTTTATGTATGTAAGCCGCCCCGAGTAGACTTGGTCTAGAGGGGTGGGGTATAAATCTAAGTAAAGTAAACTTCAGAACAACACCAAATTTGGAACAGATGTAGCAGAAAGTCTGCTCTTGCTCTGTGTCAAATTTGGGGATGTTTGGGCAAATGTTTGCAAGTTACAATTCTTTAAAAAAGTAACACTGTTTTCACCCTGTGGAGAACCAAATGATCTGGAGCTCTGGATGATTTAAAACAGATCAAATACATTGATAAGGAAAAAAAATTGCATACTTGGAAAAAAATCCCTAGCTCCTGCCTTTGTTTTATTTCTCAGGAATTCAGCCATTCATGACTCTAAAAGACTATTTGTAATTAGTGCATTTCAACCCAGAAATGAAAAATTCAGAGTTTAGGCAATCTCTCATAAATTCCCACCATTCTAAACAAGATTGCCCTTTTGACCCTGCCACTCTGAGGTATTCCATGATAGAGAGAAAAATAACAGTTGCCGTATTTTTCTGTCTATAAGGCACTACTTTTTCCTAAAATCATTACCCTAAAAATTGAGGGGCATCTTTTACATGGACATAAGCTGAGATAGCAGACGAAAGAACACAACAGCACATACTTTGCCTCTGTAAATAGGCTTCCTTCAGTGAGGAGGCTTAGTTTCCTACAATCAGGAGACTTAGCTTCCTCCAGTCACGAACCTTATGGAACTGACGTCAGCTGACCCTGCACAAAGCAACTGGAACACACCCCCTTGGAGGTGGGGCCTGTAGGCTCAAGATTCAACAGAGACAAAATGTCTGACGTTCTGAGCCCAGAGGTTGAATCCTCAAAGCTAGGTTTTCTTAATTTGGGGGTTAGAAAATTGGGGGGGTGTCCTTATAAATGGGGGCATGTTATAAACAGAAAAATAAAGTAACTCCTTTCTGGCCAAACAGTTTATCTCCCCTCTGTGAAAATATTTTAAAAGATATTTTAATAACTAAAAATAATATTCAGCAGATCACTCACTTAAACTATGAAATTACTGGGGTTTGTTTGCTTTGTAGCTGGGGATGATCTTGAAACAAGTTTTACCAGGTTTACTCATGAGTATGGAGACAGCAGCAATAGACGATGGAAAGCACTCCCAAGTAGTGATCTGTTTTAGACTGGCATATGATATTGAACAAACCCTGTTATGCTTGTTTTAACAATATCTTTTGTTGTTTTTAATTATTTTAATGTACTTGCCTGATTTTTAACAGTTTTACTGTGGGGCTGGTTTATATGATTTCTTTAAAACCTAAATGTGGTTCTATCTGTTTTTGCTTTACTTTGCAAACTGCCTTGAGTGCTATCTTTTGGTGGAACTGTGGGGTATAAATGTCATAAATAATATTTAATGTCATTATGATGACATCTAAACTCCAATAAGAAAGGAAAAACTAAAGAAAGAAGGATACACTGGATTCCATGCAGGTAAATTAGCATGTGAGTGCACCCACAAAGTTACTACTACAAAGACACTGCCATTTACATTCATGGAAATGCAGCAGAGAGCAATTGGGGGGTGGGAGTAGATCTCCTCTGACTGGCCTAAGCAGTCCAATCATTTTTGTTGCTGTCATCTAGTACTTTTCTAATTTTACTTACATGATTGGGTAAAAGTCCTATATTTACACTAGTTTCATGACTAGATATATTAATAGATATACATCAATATATTCTTATAAATTTATTAATAAGACACACACACCCTTTTTTTGCAGAACCTTTCAGTCTAATTGTGGCAAAGAAGCTATCTTCTCTCTAACTATGTTATTTTAAGTTATGTGTGTACAGTATATCAAGAGCCGGCGTGGTGTAGTAGTGGACAGAACGATGGAACAGGATTCAAAAGACCTGTGTTCAAATCCCTGCTTGGGCATGGAAATTCACGGGAAGATGGCAATGGTAAAACTATACCATACCTTGAAAATTGTATTAGAATGCAGCTTGAAAGCACACAATAAACAACACCTAAATATTATGTCACATGCAGACATGAACATATCTACTATTCAATTTTATAACTCAGCTTATAAATTCTACAGTATTACAGCTGCATCCCATCACTCCCAACTGCCCAGGGAAACTAATGGCTAGTGTGGCATAATTTCTTTCTGTTCAAATCTGCTAGTTCAGTTCTTGATACTACATTAACATTGACTGAAGAGAACTTTTTCTAAAGTAATACATTGATCTTATTATGATGATGATAATTATCCTGAAGTTCTAAAATGCAAAGTGAAAGCTGACCTGAAAGCACTAAGAAGAAATAAATCACCAGGGGTACATGGAATA